GACCATGTGTGCTACAAGAATTGGAACCAAAGCTCAGGGGCAATGGAGTCGGATATTATCGTTGAAGGCTTCCAGAGAAGCGTGGAAATGCATGGTGTGGAATACCGGACATTCATAGGAGACGGGGATTCGTCCGTTTTACATCAGATACTCACGAAAGTGGAGTACGGGCGCTTTGTAAAAAAGAGGGAATGTGCAAACCATGTTGTGAAATGTTACACCACTCGGCTCTATGGCATAGCCAAAGAAACAAAGGGCAGTTCAGCTTTCCTAAGTGGCCCTAGGATTAAGCGGTTAAAGAATGGTGCACGGAAGGCCATAAAGCACTACGCAAACATTCTTAGAGATGTACAGGGTACTGCACAAAAGCAGCGTGCCCAGAAAGCCGACCTTACGCGCCAGCTTGCGGGTGACCTAATAAATGGCCCAAAACATGTTTTTGGTTGCCACGACAGTTGCAAAGACTACTTCTGTGATGGCACCAAAGGTGACAACATTTATGATGCCATGCCTAAGGTGCTACAAATGAAAATAGTTACCGCTGCCAATATAATTGCCGAAAAAGCTGACCGTCTTGTGACAGATGATACAAGTAATCTTGCCGAGGCAGTCATGGCACTGGTAGCCAAACTATCTGGTGGTAAACAGATCAACAGATGTCAAAAGGGCTCTTATGAACACCGCTGTTATGGAGCTGGGCTCAGCTTTCAGCTGGGGCCACAGTGGCACTGCACCACATCCAAGGCTGTAACCTGCAAGAGCCCCGCAGCCGTCTTGAAGCGCTACGCAAGCAAGAAGACGGCTCAGAAAGCAAACAAAGAGTCTCTCAGAAGAAAACTGAAGAAAATGGCCACCAGCAGCATAAGCGCAAGGAGTCTACGGTGAACGACTCAATGATTTATTATGGTCCGAATTGCCAGCAGCCAGACATGCCACCAGAGCAATATGCCGAGAAAGAACGGGCTGTTTTAGCAAGCCTGCAGGTGAATGAGAAACAGCAGATGGAAATTGAGAAGGCTACTCGAGGACAGGCTGATAATCCTACATGGCATTTTGAAAGAAACATGCGCCTAACGGCGTCGAATTTCTATGCAGTATGCCGAAGGAGGGAGTGGACACCGTGTGACACGCTCGTGAAGACCCTGCTCTATAAAAAAAATTTCACCAGTGCCGCTCTTGAGCATGGAAGACAACAGGAGCGTGTTGCACTCCGGTTATACGAGCAAGAAATGGAAACTGCTGTGCAACCTTGCGGATTATTTGTTTACCCAGAGTACGGATTCTTGGCGGCGTCGCCAGACGGATTAATTGCGAGCGACGGTATCGTGGAGGTGAAGTGCCCATTCACTTCGAAGGACATGGAGCCATCCGAGGCAGCTAAAAAGTACAATCAAAGGAGCCAAGTACACGAACCACCCAAATTGAGCTGCTCTCATAACTATTTCTACCAAGTGCAAGGCCAGCTGCATATCACTAAAAGAAGTTTCTGCCACTTCGTCGTCTGCACGTCGAAGGGCATCCATGTACAGCGGATCGAAAGAGATAATGACTTTTGGAAATTCAGAATGCTTCCACAACTAATCAGATTTTACAGAGACTGCATGTTACCTGAAATTGTAGATCCCCGTACTACGCGCAGCATGCCCATACGCAGACCACAGTGGAATGTGAAAGCAATTGAGTCACACCAGCAGTCTAAACGAGCTTCGATGAAGAACAAGGAGGCAAAGCAGAGTGGCGACTCGTACATTTTCCACAGCCTTGAGTCGTAGGACTGCTGGGCGCGTGCACTGTCAAGAAATTCACCAATTGTGACGATGCTATCTAATGGTGATTTTGAGCGCACTTTCGTGTTGGGGCAACGCCAAGTGCGTCTGTAGTTTCGGCCATCTGCAGTTGTAGCTATTTACATATTTCCACGCAAATTGCCAGTGCTCGAGCGTTACGCATACCACTTTGTGCATTGCAGGCGCCGCGAACCAAGCGAAATGCCGAGAGCCCCGTTACGACAAGCGAAGCCAGCCGCAGTGCACGTGCCAGCCCTGCACGCGCGCGAGCTGCTACCGGGGGGGGGGGGGGGGGGGGGCAGCGAGCGTGACGGGGGAAGAAGGCGAGGTTAGAGGCCAGTGGCGAGTGACATCAGCAGACTCCGCGTTCGCTCTCTTTTGTCCTTGTTCGCTCTACTGGTTACGCCGACGACGCCAACAGGCGCCGCCGCTCAACGCAGCAGTATGTGCGTAAGAGCTTCGCTCTAAAGAACTGCACATTAGGAGAACGACCTTGTATATATCGAATGGCAGATGCAGGCTCAGATTTGACGATAGCAAAGACTCTTTCTCGAACAAGCTATGAGGTAGCAATTCACTTCTTTGTGTCGGGCGTGTCATCAGCCATTCACGTGCGTTCTGCAGCAGCAATGACCGAGAGACATGACCACAGAAGCGCCAATAAACTTTTGTAAAAAGTTCGTGTGTGATATAGGATAACGGAATAATAATAAAACATACACCTTCATTCTCTGCTGTCACAAGTTCACATCCGAAAATCGCGATTATATGTACTTTTGCTTTGTGCGATTTCACATTTCTCTGAATGTATGCGTTGTAGTTCTGCGGGCTTTTTTGTGTGTGTGATGTTCAGGTGTCTTCGTGGCTGTAACCAAGTGCTGCCGACGCTCGTTTCGTACTAAATAAATTGTCACAACAACGTGTATTGACTCAATCTTGCTTACTGCATGACAGCCCTTCATTGCATAGCATATACACAACACTAAGACTCGTTGCTTGAAGATATGTTAGCCGATACAGTTATTTGAATTGACCAATCATGCATCCAAAAGCCTTATCCAGTGCGACAAGACCTTTTCTTCAACTCCTTTGCTACTATTGTATTTGTGTACTCATGTTTTTGCCTTGCATGCGCTTTACGAACTCGAAATGGGTACGGCATAGAAGTAATACAAACAGCGGCTGTGTAGAAAGATGCATGGGAGATGCACTGTACCATAAGTCTTCCCCTCCCTTGTTGCACTCCTGGGAGGTTTGTGTGAATCCGCCCCAGTTTTTATCATGAGATGTTTATAGAGCTTGAGGTAACGGCCTCGAATCTACGAGCTTGCAGTCAATAACTGATTTGGGCGAAACGATCACTCTTCATGTTATTGCCACGACCTTTACAGGAAAAAAAAAAGATGTTGAAATAGCGTACGCGAATAGAGAAGTCGTTCCTTGGACAAGGGAATAACGCACCTGGACCATTCAGGCCACGCATGTGCGAGTCTCGCTCATATGACACACAAGAGGTAATTGCTTCATTTTCGTCATAAACATAGTTTGTCGACTAGTCCGATGGTTTGCGTACGGCAACGTGATAAACAAACGCTGCATCAACCAAAACATGAATTCATACTAGCCTGCTGAAGTTTCAATTCTAATGAAATAAATTACGCTACATATAGTGGGGAAAACTAATGATTATGCAGTCGGCACGTGTTGGGCACCGTGAGTCACAGCGGCCGCACTTCTTAGCACGCGATTTGCCTAACTACCCGTTTTTTTGTCTTTGTTTTTTGAAAATTTGGAAGCTTAGGTCATACTGGGAAGGAAGTATACATAGTCAAATATAATTTGCCTTCTCCTGTCCCACCGAACCGCATCACGCTCCAGCAACCCCAATTATTTGTAGAACGAACTGTTCCGTTGAACCTCGCATGAATACTCATAGTCCAAGTTTTGATCTCCATTGTATACATTGTTGTGACCTCCGCGATAGAGTTTTTCACTCAACCCCACATTCCGGCACTGTATGGAACGTAGAGCAGCTGGCCAAGCAGGCTACGCAGCCTACATGAGGGATCTCTTGAAAAGCAGCGACCGCAGGGGTCAGGGGCTAGTGAGCATGGAGAGAGATGGAGGTGTCGGTGAAGGGGAGAAAAAAAAAAGCCCCTGCTCAGTGCCTCATTTCTTCGAACCGTGTCAGCGCGATTTGCACCCCTTCGTCATGCAGTGTGGCGCGCCGGCACACGTGTGGCAGTTCACCTCCGAAATGTTGGCTTTCCAGTCCTGACTTGGTGGCGCCGTCTGGTATTTTTTCCAGAACTACTCACAATATGGCGACAGTAGAACCGCCACCTTAAAGTTTGATTGAACTTCGTGGTGCCTAAGAAAGCCCGCCGTGTCACCTCTGTGTATGCCAATTCATATCAAAACAAGAACGTGTCAATGAAGTTTTCTTTCTTGATATACATATATATATACATACATATAAACATACATATATACATACATACATATATACATACATACATATATACATACATACATATATACATACATACATATATACATACATACATATACATACATACATACATACATACATACATACATACATACATACATATACATACATACATATATACATACATATATACATACATACATATATATATATCGGTCTCCGTATGAAGTTTTCTTTCTTGATATCTATCTCTCTGTGTGAGTGGGTGGGGTGCTGACAAGTCAGGTAAGTTTGACCCCCAACTCACGAAATAGTTAGTACGCCACTGGGTATAAAACGCTTCTGTCATGAATCTGCTTACACAATACACATTGACCAACTTTTGATGAAGCACTGGCCAAAATATACAAGTCTACTTATTTGCACCCTTCAATTTAGCGTTGAGTCACGCAGAGTGCAGCTAAGCACCGGTAAAGGTGAGACACCATTTCCGCCTTTTTTTTTTTTTTCTCAACGAGCCAGCTTCGCAGCTCTCAGCAGAGTTTTTTTTTTTTAAGAAATTGAACATTGGGCGAGTTGGTACAAAGTATTCAAAGATTTGAATAGTGCGAACGCCACAGACGAATACATGACACAGCGCACTTGACATCAGCGCTCACAGCGTCCAATCAAAAGCTTCTCTCCAAGTCGATGAGAAAGCGCGGACAAACATGATATCATTATGAAAGGTAGGACACAGTTTGATACAAGCTTTTACGCACCAATGAGCGACTCCTCTTCGGCAGGGCCAGAAGGGCGGCCCAGTGAAGTGGCGACGTCTTCTTCTTCCGAGTACTCTTGTTCCATGTCGGATTCATTTAGGTGTTCAGTGTGAAAGTCGCCACCGTCAGACGCGAAGTGTTCTGCAATGCAAAAAGGACATAACCCGTTCGGCAAGTCATCGGCGACTGTCTGCCTACTATCACTTGCCATGGCGTCCTTGCACACAGTTTACGGTCCGGCACAAATCGATGTCCAAGCAGCGCGCCAATCCTAATCCGGACAAATGATTCGTGAACGCACGCTGCACACGCTCGCGCCAGAAAACCGCTCTCTGGAGCGGGAGATTCATACAAAACATAGTGTGGCACTACTTTGACGATCATATATTGCCGCTAAGAAGCGCTTGTTGTAGGAAGTATGCAGAAAACACAACTTGGGGACATGGAGCAACCACCAAACAATCCGAACTACGCATGAGAATATTATATTAGAACAGAAGGCAGCAGAAAGGGGGTGGTATTGGGGCATTCATAAAAGTACAGACTGGCAAAGGGTCAAGCAGGAGTGCAAAGAACATTTATGGCTAAAAGGGAAACCGGCAGGGCAAATGACCCTCCTGGGTTTTGTATACTTGTGGATAGGGGCAAAAGCCAGAGAGGAAAATCAACAAATGGTGCAGTTCATAGAAAATGACATTAGCGAACTAGGAGAAGAGTGCGAGGTAATTATATTAGGAGATATGAATGTGCACATAGCAGATATGGATGGATATACTGACGCAACAGGCAGAGTGCTAATGGATATGTGTGAAAGGCATGATTTAACCATTTGCAACAGCACCGAAAAATGCGAGGGGCAGATAACGTGGGAGGTGGGAAGGCTGCAGTCAACGATAGATTACGCAATAATGTCACATATGATGTATGATCGGCTAAGGGTGATCAACATAGATGAATATGGGTCCAGAAGCTTAGGTAGAGATCACAAACGTATCAAGCCGAGTTTTCGAAGAGAAATGAAATTGTAAAGGTGGCATTACGAGCAACCACACGGTAATATTTATTCAGAAAGGCAAATAGAAATAGCAACTAAAATATTGAGAAAATAATCATCGAGGATACTAGAACACAGTGGACGTACACAAATCTAACTCTATTGTTTGAGTTAGAGCTTGCTAAGGAACGAGCCAAATCAACCGGCAAAAGCAGACTGCCAGAGCTGGTGAGATGAGGAAGTCAAGAGAGCCATATATAGTAAGACGTCAAGAAGCCTCTATGGCACACAGGTATGCTAAAGAAAGGGGTGAACTGGAAGATGATGTCAAAAGAAAATGGAATAACTTTTTGAGCTGCAGAAGGGAAGCGTACGATTTGAGCAGTCACAAGATTTGAAAAAAGGGGGCCCAATGAATGGCGGAAGTAAACAAAAAGGACAGAAAGGCAGCTGCAATGTTTTGGAACCATCTCAATTCTCTGAGCAATAAGACAAGCATGAAACAGAGGTTTATAACTACAGTTCAAGGGGCCAGACTAGAAGGGGATGAGGCAATGGAATTTATAAAAACAATTATGATAGAAAAATTTAAACACCAAGAAAACGCTGCATGCACTGTACCAGATGAGGATTCACCAATTAGCTCAGTGGCTCCACTGGGACGAGAGTGGGAAAAGGAAGAAAAAACGGTTTTTAATAGCACATCAACAGGCTTTGACGGCATCCAAATCAAGCTAATAAACAAACTAAGACCAAACTCTAAGCAAACATTAAGAGACACAGCGAGCAAAGCAATAATGGATGGTGAAGCTCCCAATAGGTGGAAACTAAGCAGGATAAGCATGATCTATAAAGGAAATGGGGACAAAGCTGATATAAACTACTATCCTATAGCAGTGACCTCAGTAGTTTACGGGCTGGTGATGCAGATAGTAAAGGAATAACTACAGACGTGGGTGGAGAATGAGGGGATGCTGGGGGAACTACAAAATGGCTTACGTAAACAAAGGAGGTTGGTGGACAATCTGTTTTCATTGATGCAGTGTATTGAAATAGCAGAAAAGGAAAACAGGACCCTGTGGCTGGCATTTCTAGATATCAAGAGAGCTTATAATAGTGTGATTCAAGAAGACTTGTGGGGAATAATGGACACGCTAGACATGGAAGATGGAATAACTAATCTTCTAAAGGATATCTGTAAAGGTAGCAAGGTGGTTATCCAATGGGAAGAACAGGTATCTGAACCTATAGAGATACACAACGCGGGCTTCGACAGGGATGTTCCTTGTCACCTTTGTTATTTATGACGTATTTACAGGGACTAGAAGCCAAATTAGAGGGGAGTCGACTCGGCTTCAGCCTCTCTTTTGCCAAGCAAGGAAAACACATTGAACAGTCATTACCAGCCCTGATGTATGCAGATGACATAGTATTAATCGCCAACAATGAAGATCTGCAGGCATTGATAGACATCTTTAGTAATGAGGGAGATATGTTAAATTTGAAGTTCAGCAGGGAAAAATCGGCAATCATGATTTTCAATGATAATTTAATAATGATGATGCACGCGTGTGTGTAAGCTGACAAGTGGGGTAGGTCTGCCCCCCCCCCCCCCCCCTCACAAAAGAGTTGGTACGTCACTGCGTGTAAAACGCTTCTGTCATGGATCTGCGTACTCAATACACATTGATCAACGCTTGATGAAGCACTGGCCAAAATATACTAGTCTTTTTATTTGAATCGTTCAATTTAGCGTTGACTGACACCGAGTGCAGCTAAGCGCCGGTAAAGGTGCGACGTCTTTCGTGTCCTTCTTGTCTCTGTGTCGTCGTTTTGTTCTCGCGCTATAACTATCATCATGCCATACCAACTAGCCCAAGCTGCCACACCACTCCCGCCTTTCTTTTCCTCAACGAGCCAGCTTCGCAGTCTCAGCAGCGTTTCTTTTTTTTACGAAATTGAACATTGGGCGAGTTGATACCGAAGTATTCAGAGATTCGAATAGTGCGAACGCCAGAGACGAGTACATGACACCGCGCGTTTGACATAAGTAGGGTGGCTAACATAAGCGCTGACAGCGTCCGAGCAAAGGCTTCTCCCCAAGCCGATGAGAAAGCGCGGACAAATATGATATTATTATGAAAGGTAGGACACAGTTTAATAAAATCTTTTACGCACCAATGAGCGACTCCTCTTCGGCAGGGCCTGGAGGGCGGACCAGCGGAGTGCCGACGTCTTCCTCTTCCGAGTACGTTTGTTTCCCGTCGGAGTCATCATCTTCAGACGTGAAGTGTTCGGCAATGCAAAGAGGACGTAACACCTCTGGCAAATCATTGGTGACTGTCCGCCTACTACCACTTGCCATGGCGTCTTTGCATACAGTTTACGGTGCGGCACAAATCGCTGTCCAAGCACCACGCCAATCCTAATCCGGACAAACGTTTCGCGAACGCACGCTGCGCGCCAGAATTCACACGAGAACCGCTCTCTGGAACGCGAGAGTGATTCAAAACATAGCGCAGCACCACTACTTATACGACTATTTCATATCGCCGCTAGAGTGCGCTCGTTGTGGGAAGTGTGTTGTAGGAATACTCGGGGTAGTTCTCTACTGTTTGAGGCCAGGACGGGAGTACTGTGAACCAAGACATATCGGGCCAAATACGAAGGGGTAGACACAGTATGCAGTGCGTGTGGAGAGGAAGAAGAAACTGCCGAACACTTGATAATGTTCTGTAAAGGGCTTCACCCTATAGTTCAGGATGATGGCGCAGAGTTTTTCAAAGCACTGGGGTTTAGGGACCGGGAGGGCAAAATAAACTTTAAGTGGGTAGACTTAACCAGAAGGAGGTTATCTGATTGGTGGCTAAAGTCAAGACACGAGTGAAAATTAAACTCTTCACTGCAAAGTACGAATCCTCAAACTCACTTTTTAAGGAAAAAAAAATAAATATAGTTTTTGATTCATTAGGTATTACGGCTTAGTGGCGCTAGCCACCGCCCAATCTAAAGGGTACAGCCATATCCATCCATCCATCCATCCATCCGTGTATCGAGATATATCGGGCCAAGGGGTAGACACAGTATGCAGTGCGTGTGGAGAGGAAGAAGAAACTGCCGAACACTTAATAATGTTCTGTAAAGGGCTTCAGCTTATAGCTCAGGATGGCGGCGCAGAGTTTTTCAAAGCACTGGGGTTTAGGGACCGGGAGGGCAAAATAGACTTTAAGCGGGTAGACTTAACTAGAAGGAGGTTATCTGATTGGTGGCTAAAGTCAAGGCACGAGTGAAAATTAAACCCTTCACTGCAAATTACGCATTTTCAAACTCACTTTTTAAAGAAAAAAAATAAATCTAGCTTTTGGTTCATTAAGCATTACAGCTTAGTGGCGCTAGCCACCGCCCGATCTAAAGGGTACTGCCATATCCATCCATCCATTCAACGTGCCTAAGCAGGCTTTGAGAGAGGCAGTGAGCAAAATAATAATCTATGGAGAAGTTCCCTATAGATGGAAACTTAGCAGGATGAGCATGATCTATAAAGGAAAGGGGGACAAAGCTGACATAAACAACTACCGTCCTATAACAGGGACATCAGTGGTCTACAGGCTGGCGATGCAGATCACAAAGGAAAGACTGCAGGCATGGGTAGAGGTTGAGGGGGTGCTGGGGGAACTGCAGAATTGGTTTCGGAAACACAGGAGGTTGGAAGACAATTTGTTCTCACTGACGCAGTGCATCGAAATAGCAGAAAAGGAACACAGGCCCCTGTGGCTAGCATTTTTGAATATCAAGGGAGCGTATGATAGCGTGGTTCAAGAGGAATTGTGGGGGCAAACTAGGCGTGAAAGATGTAGTCACTAATCTTTTAAAGGATATCTATAAAGGTAACAAGGTAATTATAAAGTGGGAAAAACAAGTATCCAAACCTGCAGAGGTAAAACGGGGGCTTAGGCAGGGGTGTCCCCTGTCATCCTTATTATTCATGATGTACCTACAAAAATTAGAGGCCAAATTAGAGGGAAGTGGATTGCGCTTCAACCTCTTTCGTCAAACAAAGAAACTTCATTGAACAGGCCCTACCAGCATTGATGTACGCAGATGATCTAGTCCTAATGGCCGACAACAAGGAAGATTTGCAGAGATTGGTGGACATCTGCGGTAATGAGGGAGATAGGTTAGATTTCAGATTCAGTAAGGAAAAATCAGCAGTCATAATTTTTAATGACAATGAAGGTAGTGAGCTTAGAATACAGGAGGTCACGCTAGAGATAACAGATAAATACAAATATCTGGGCGTATGGATAAGCAATGTGGCCGAGTACCTAAGGGAACACGAAATATACGTGTTGACTAAAGGTAACAGGAATGCAGCGGTAATGAATAAACAGGGCACTGTGGAATTACAATAGGTATGATGTTGTCAGAGGAATATGGAAAGGGGTCATGGTTCCTGGTCTGACGTTCGGCAATGCGGTCTTGTGCATAAGATCAGAAGTTCAAGCAAGATTAGAAATTAAGTAACGTGGAATAGGTAGGCTTGCCTTAGGAGCTCACGGGAATACACCAAATCAGGGAGTACAAGGTGATATGGGATGGACAACATTTGAGGGCAGGGAAGCTAGCAGCAAGATAAAATTTGATAAACGGTTGAGAGAAATGGGGGGGAGCGTTGGGCTAGGAAGGTATTCAGCTACTTGTACACGAAGAATGTCGATACAAAATGGAGGAAGCCAACCAGAAAATTGACTGGTAAATACTTGGAAAACAGCAGGGGGCTAAACCAAAAAAAATTATCGGTTAAGAAGGCCAAGAAAGCTGAGACCGATATGTGGAGAATCGACATGATTAAGAATTCCGCACTAGAGATCTATCGAACATTTAAGTAGGAAATCGCCAAGGAAAGGGTCTATGATAATACTCGGGGTACTTCTCTACTGTTTGAGGCCAGGACGGGAGTATTGCGAACCAAGACATATCGACCAAATACGAAGGGGTAGACACGGTATGTAGTGTGTGTGGAGAGGAAGAAGAAACTGTGGAACACTTGATAAAGTTCTGTGAATGGCTTCACCCTATAGTTCAGGATGATGGCACAAATTCTTTCAAAGCACTTGGGTTTAGGGACAGTGAGGGCAAAATAGACTTTAAGCGGGTAGAATTAACTAGAAGGAGGTTATCTGATTGGTGGCTAAAGTCAAGGCACAAGTGGAAATTAAACCCTTCACTGCAAATTACGAATTCTCAAACTCACTTTTTAAAGAAAAAAAAAATAAATCTAGTTTTTGGTTCATTAAGCATTACGGCTTAGTGGCGCTAGCCACCGCCCGATCTAAAGGATACTAGCCATATCCATCCACCTATCCATTCGTGTAGGGAAGCTAGCAGCAAAATAAAATTTGAGAAGCGATTGGGAGGAATGGGTTAGGAGCGTTGGGCTAGGAAGGTTTTCAGCTACTTGTACATGAAGAATGACGATACAAAATGTAGGAAGCGAACCAGGAAGTTGACTGGTAAATACTTAGAAAACAGCAGGTGGTCAAACCAAAAGAACTATCGGTTAAGAAGAAAGTGAAGGAAACGGAGACTGACATGTGGAGAATTGGCATGATTAAGAAGTCCGCACTAGAGATCTATTGAGATTTTAAGCAGGAAATTGCCAAAGAAAGGATCTATGATAATACTCGGGGTAGTTCTCTACTGTTTGAGGCCAGGACGGGAGTACTGCGAACCAAGACATATTGGGCCAAATACGAAGGGGTAGACACAGTATGCAGTGCGTGCGGAGAGGAAGAAGAAACTGCCGAACACTTGATAATATTCTGTAAAGGGCTTCACCCTATAGTTCAGGATGATGGCGTAGAGTTTTTCAAAGCACTGGGGTTTAGGGACAGGGATGATAAAATAGGCTTTAAGCGTGTAGACCTAACTAGAAGGAGGTTATCTGATTGGTGGCCAAAGTCAAGGCACGAGTGAAAATTAAACCCTTCACTGGAAAGTACGAGTTACGTTCCGTTTGGTTCTTTCCACTCGCCTCTCGCTTGTTGAGCGACATTTGCAGCTGCCGCTAAGGAAGCCGAAGACGAGAACTTTTCATCTGCTGGCACCTTGAGGAAATGACCACTCCGACATCATCTGGATATAGAGACGTTTATTCGTTTCTCCTTCTCTCACCCTCACTGTCCTGCACCCCTGGTTTTATCCCCTGTCTCCCCATTCAACCACTCTTACAGTCCAATCGTAACGCACCACTCTTACAGTCCAATCGGAACGCACAGATGTGTCTCTCCTCGCCACAACCTCGAGAGACCCACCGCCTCTTGCCCACTCATCGGTTCTCCGCTGTCGCTCAGGTTTCTTTCACACCGGTTCCCGGAATGGTCGACGAAGGGCGTTGCCATGGGTCGTGGAAAAGCGCCTCCGAGTAAGTTCCCGCGATGCCGGGTTGACAGGCCATCAATACAATTGGCCCGTGCGCCAATGCCGTCGCCTCGGCTGATTCTGATTGTCCGGCGGGCGCATACGTGTACCTTCCACGTGTCCCTTCCACGTGTCCCTTCCACGTGTACCTTCCACGTGTACCGGCCACCTGCAGCCTGGCTTGGTCTCCTGTAAGGCGCCCTAATTGAGCCCGACAGGGGCACGGGAGTTGTCGCGTCCTTTGTGGCCAGCAGACAGTCATCTTCCCGCATTCCAGTGGCCCTGCTTCCTTGTTGGCGAGGGGTCGCCGGCCGCGGGGTGGGTAACATAAGGTATTCGGGGAACGCACGGAGTTCGAGCCCAACACCTCCCCTCCAACTGTGTTGCACTGTATCTATGACATGCGACACAAACACAACCACATATGCACACATGTTTACTGGCTCGACACGTGAGGCACCAACTGTCACTCGTACCTCGTTGAATCCGTCGCGCGCACGCGCTAACAAAGCATACATCCCCCTTAACTCGCCATCCCTTTTCTGCGTCATCGTTAGGAGTCACTAACCGCGACATTGCATCGGCATTAGCGTTTAGACACCCCTTTTGGTGTTCAATTTCCAGGTTATACTTCTGTAGTGCCAACGCCCAGCGTGTCAGCCTAGCGCTCTGCGGAGTGGTTGGAGTCAGAAATTTGAGTGGGTTATGATCGGTAATCACCTTAATTTTAGTGCCAAACAGCCAAACATTCAACTTCCCCAGTGCCCAAATGATTGCATAAGCTTCCTTTTCTATTGTGGCCCATCGGGTCTGAGCCGAGCTAAGCTTCTTGCTCAGAAAAGCGATAGGGCGCTCCTTGCCCACCAGATCCTGCTGTGCCAGGCACGCAGTCCCTATAATAGTTGGCTAGCCCTAAGAAACTACGAAGCTGTCCCTTTGTTTCGGGAGCCGGGATCTCCTTTATCGCCCTGACCTTCTCTGGATCGGCCCCGAATATCACTCCTGCTGCAGTTACTCGGGCGCGATATGCGCGAAGCTTGTTAGCGTGAAAGGTGCTGCGTGAAC